ATGGCAGTCATAAGTTAAGCAAGCTACATTGCAGGGGTAGCATCTCTGCCTGCGGGCAGGGAGGACATAAGTGTCTGCTTTGAGGATTGGTAGATCTTGGAGCTCAAGCTGTTCCAGAATGTCGTTACCACTTGTCTGGAAATTACGTTGGACAATGGTATGAGGTAGAATGACAGTACCACTACAAGAATGAAGAGAATGATGTTTTTCAGTAATTACAGGAATAGCATCTACAATTGTAAGGAGAGAAAGATCACGAGCTTGGTTAGCATTCTGTACCATGACGATGTGTGCACTGCTCTTGAGACCATGAAAGGATATATCTCAACCAACATGGCATAGGAGCATCTTGCTAATACTATGATTGGAAAGATAGTCAAGAGAAGTTGGTCTCAGAGTAAAAAACTTAGTCCATTGTGTATTTTGAAACATAGCGTGTAAGAGGAGTTTTGTGCCAGTCTTTTCTGGGCAGAGTGAGTCAGATGTATCAAAGGAGTCAGGCAGAACCCCAGTACCTGAAGCAGATGACGAAACAGCACCAGCAGGAGGTACAGGGGCATTAGGAATGTCGGTCAAATAACGAGGTAGGTGCGGTAGCAGAAAGGGGCCCGGGAGGAGCTAGTTCATGGCTTGGGGACTCCATGGTTAGTTCAGTTCTTTCTGTTAGTGTTTTAGAAAAAAAAAGAATAAAAGGGGGGGGGAATGTGGAGGGATAGCTCCTAGGAGGAATGAAAGGGCTGCAGATCCCCCTCCGCACCCAAGAGGACCCCAGCACCGCAAGTAGTGCAGATGCAGCATGAAACCTGTGCCATACCCTACCCTTCATGCCAGTAGACCAGCAGTCCGGGATAGCAACCTCACATCTACTGAACCACCTCGGTGGACAAAAGAGGGGGCGGCCAGATACTCACCACAAAGCATACCTCCGTCAGGCAATCATTCCCCGGGAATCTGAAAGGCAGCCTCCAGAGATACACCTGTCACCCGAAAGACACCCAAAGCTCCCTCTCCTCCCCCCCCCCCCGAGACCAGAGAAGGATAGGGACAACCCCAGGTGATCCAGATTCCACTGGCAAACTATACCACCGCCACGGCCCTCAACGGAATGGGATGGACCATGGTACCCTTCCCCTATCTTGGAACTAGAGTGCCTGTGGGAAGAATCCCAAAGGCTGAAAATAGGAAAGGGATAGGGGAGGGATGGAGAGGATGGTACAAGGAAGAGGGGATTGGGGGGGTAATTAGGTTTGGTCTGAGGAAGAAGACCAAAAGATCCTGTTCCTCAGACCAATAGCCTCTTTACCACAACAAGGAATTCCCTTGAAGAGGAAGAGGAGAGAGTGTTATCATAGAAAGAATTATTATGATACTGCCCGACTATGTTAACATGTACAGTATATAGTAGGTGTTATACTTTCCAGGTTCTGTATAGAATCTTTCACTCCTCATGTAAGTAGCATGTATCTTATGGTTTACTATGTCTTTTTTTTTCCAGCATGTATCAAACTCTCATGCAGTAAATATTTTGCAAGTGAAACTTGTTTTATGACAGTGAACTTAAATGCCACTTATTGCAGTTTTGTAGTTCTATTATTGTTCAAAGACTGAATGACCAAGATTTGTTCCAGTATTTTTTATTTAGCCTATGTAGTTTTAAGTAAATTCCCTAAACCCATTAACCAGATAAAATTAATGATCAGAATTAAATAATTTCACAGCTTTATGACAATTACATACATTTACCCACTAAACCATACTGAGTTATTCAAATGTGACCCAAAATTTTATTCGCTTTATAATTTTTGTTTTGCCGTATTGCTAGAATTTTACATCTTTTGATCCTTGCTCTATGGAAATAGTAACAAGGTTAATATATTAATGAAATGATTGTTCAAAGGTTTCTTTAGTTTTCTAATTTGTTTGCATATGTAGTTTTTTGGTTTTTAACATTTTAATTAATTTTATTTACTGTATTTGAAATTGCTGTGGTTACTTTGGTTAACAAAGCTTGCTGCATTTTAATTAGAGCATTATTATCAGGAAATCAATAATTCTGGCTCTGTGAGGCAACTACTCCGGGATGGGATACCAGCTCGGCCAGCATCCGATGATGAGGAGACTTTGAATGAGTGGGACGACTGTGCCCAAGACTTACACCATAATAAATCTCATCACGAAGCACCAGTTCATAACACAAACAATCTTCAGGTACACCTCTCATCCCAACCCTCTCTGCAGCAACATCAGTACCAGTACCAGCAGCAACAGTCTTTAAACCTAAGTCCCCATCACCTAAGTTCCCTACACTCCACCTTACCACACCAAGATGACCACGAGACACTTCAAGTTTCCTCAAACTTTACTGTACGTTCAGTTATTGTTCAATGTGGATAAGGATCTCTAATACTTGACTCTGGTTATATTATCACTTTTTAGTGTCAGAAGCTCAAACTGGACCACTTGCTTAATAAATATATATTGGCCTGGTTGTTAGGTATGTGAAGAAAAGTAGTTAAAGAGTAAATGATTTCTTTAGAAAAATGCTCAGAATTTTTTACTGGACAAGCATATAGAAATGTGAAGGAGAGCAGATAATGATTTTGTTGTATTAATAGCACGGATGATTAGTAGTAGGAAATTTACTGTATAAATTCCATCTAAACTGTTGTGTCTGCACACCTCTGCTAAGCACAGATGATTGGTAGCAGGAAATTTAACCTCCATATATGTATATATTCACTGTGCTCCTCAGCACCAACTCTGTTCTTTGACCTGAAGGGTTACAAAATAACATTGATCAGTAAATTTCTTTTTCTTTGGCATGTTTCACCTCTCTTAATACAATTCCTAAACTGTTTCTATCACTGCATTCCTACTTTCTTAATTGCTTTTAAATTTTCTACTACTACTATTTGTTTTGTTTGTTTTTCGTGTTCACTCTGAAAAAATTGCTCTGTTTTTAATTTGAACATTGTTATCAGTGGGCCATTAATTCAGGCTATGTGATCAACTTTATACAAGATGGTCTACCAACTCAGCAGACATCTGAGATGAGTGTGAGAACTCTCTACAAGACTTATACCATTTCTTGACAGACTTATGGTATAAGTCTTGTCAAGAAATGCCAATTTGTAACACAAACAGTATTCAGACAAACCATCTCTCATCTCACTCCTCTCCTCAGCAGCAACAGCAGCAGCAGCGGCAGTCTTCTTTAAACCAAGGTCCCCATTATCAAAGTTCCTTACACTCCACCTCACACACCAAGATGACCCTGAGACATTTCAAGTTCCCTCAAACTTTACTGTACGTTCAATTACTGTTCAGTATTGATAGGTATTTTTTTAATACAAAGTAAAACCTCCCATTAATGGATTTTGGTAATTTCAGACAAAAAATTGGCCAAACAAATGGACAAAAGTCTAATTCCGAATTTTGACCTGTAACTTTTTTTTTTTTTTATTAATGATGACTTAAATACTTATCTCAGTTAAACTTCTTACCGAATGTATTAAGGGTTAATAAATTTGATGCAGTGTTTTGGAATCAAGACTAGTGAATGTTGTTTCCCCAGATTTCACACATTTAAATTTTTTTAATAGCAAGTTTTTAAATGTTGTTCACTTCAGTACTATTTGCAGAATAATTTTTTGAAAAATTTACTTGCAGGCACTTGTGCATGCTTTTATGTTCTTGTAACTTTTAAGAAAATATGAATTCCCAGAAATTAAACCATATTTAAAAGTTAATTCATTCAAATTCTATTTTTTCCTTGAGAATTATTGGAGAGATGTATTGGCTATAGTTGAAGTATCCCACTTACGATATATAGGGCAATTGGGTTTGGTTACAATATTGTCTTTGATCTATAGGAGAAACTGATATCACGTTTTCATGAAATTGGAATAAATACACAGGACGTCCTCACTTAACATTGTTTTGTTATAACTTTGATGAGAAAAAGAAATCGGTTCCCAGCCAGGAATGGAAAATATGGAAAAACTTTTAAATATCTGAAATACAGTGGAGCCCCGCCTAACAATATTATTTCAATCCAAAAGTCTGTTTGGGTGCCGTTATAGACCGAATTTGTTCCCATAAGGAATATTGTGAATTAGATTAGTCCGTTTCAGTCCCCCAAAAATACACTTACAAAAGCATTTACAAAAATACACTTACATAATTGGTCGAGTTGGGAGCTGATCGTTAGGCGGGGGTCCACTGTATCTGGATGGAGGATGTGCATCAGCGCAACTCTTCATGTTTTCTCATGTCAGTTTCTCCCTTGTGCTTGTTTGTATTCGGTTTTTATGATATGTAGCGTGATTCTTATATTATTCTGAAAAACATGTTATACCTATAATAATAATGTCAGCAATAAATATACAACTTTATAGCACCCCAGTGACATACTTTATAGTCATGGCATCTGCAACACTACTGCCCTCCCTCTCAGCTCTCCCTTGCCATAGGAACTTTTGTTTATACTAATTAGCCTATGGTAAAATTGGTTTCGTTTACGTCATTTCTCTTAAAGTCACAGTTTCCAAGAACCTGTCAACGATGTTAAGTGAGGGCTTCCTGCATAAAGTGAACAAATTTTGACTTGTGCTGAAAAATGAGTTTTGTGTGTAATAAGGTGTTCCTCAGCTTAAATCTCAAGTAGTTATATTGAGAGGTCTTTTTGTTCATTATTTTTGAGGTTTGTCATGACTAATGATAATAGGCAAATTCCATGCATGATTACTCTTTTGTACAACATTCCCTTACATAGAGCTGAAGATAAACATTGTACAAAGTGTATTAATTCACTAAGAATTTGTGTAATAAATGAAACTTTTCATTAATGCCTGTGCATGCATGTGCATATGTGTGTATGTATGTGCATGTATTCGGGCGTGTGTGCATGCATGCAGTGGGGTGGGTTGTAGTGCAGACATGTGCCGCTAATAGCAATAGCGCATTTTGTTTAATTTTGATCATTTTTTTTTTTTAAACAGAATGGAGATGAAGCATCTCAGATCTATGAAAACACAGTTGTAGACACATTCAAGACACATCATCATAATGGTGCACAAGAAAGGCATACATATGGCCATACAGATCACTCATCTAACATCAAATCATCTAATAATGCCAACAATGCATATGAAACGGATGCCCACCAAAACAGTTCGACCACACCTGGGGCTGCTCCTGGCACCACTCCTGCTGTCGGCATGGTATACGAAGTTGATGTGAGTTTCCCCAGTAGCTGTACTGTTAATTAAACCCTTGTTTAACAGAACACTTTCGTAATACTTTACTACTGGTTTGTAATGTCATTGTATAAACAAATATCCTAATTTTGACTAGTAAAAATAATACAAATAAAATACTAAAAACTATTTGTAGTGTTAGGGTGACAAATGAAACATGCAGTTGGGTTTGTAGAATATGTTACAATTTCTGAAGTATACAAAATAACTATGTGGCAAAAACTAATGTGGTAATGATAAATGCATTTAATATATGCTGTAGAGTACCCAGTGATCACAGAAAAACAAAAGCTACAAAAATTTTTTGTAGCTGGCCATGAGAATGATGCTTCCATCTTAAGATCAGTGGATCAAGGATTGATCCTTCATCACCCCTTGTGTCATAACCTGTATAGGTTATTCAGCACAAGTTATTCATTAGATGGATTCTTGAATGATACGAGCAGGTGACAACTCTGTTCGGTACGTAGTCACCATTGTGTCACACATTGAGTCAAGATGGTAAACACAGGGCAGTGTTCCTCATGCAGGCAGCAAGAAAAACTTCTCTTGAATAGTATAGTACTCTTGCTGCAGTCACCTTCAGATTGATGACACTGAGAGAGTACTGTTGTAAGGTGCGTGTTATGGTTGTCAGCCTTGTGTGTCATGGTCCACCACACTTGAAATACATCAAACAATGTGTCATGGATGATCACACCCAGAAACATTGACAGAGGCATCACTAGGGTTGGTGTCACCTGGGGTGGAATCTTTGGTGTTACCCAGGGTGGCATCTTTGGTGTCACCCCCATGAAATGCAAGGGTGGGGGATAAGGGAAGTAAACTCCAGTTACATCACTGCTGCATGACCAGTGACTAATGTTTACCAATGAGAACATTTAAAGGCCATAAACCGAACTTTATTAATGATAAAATAAATAATCGTAGTAATATTGAGGGAACAAACTCAAATACCACTGAGTATAGGAAACAGATCATACATTTATTCATCTTCAACAATGAAAAAAAAGTTGAAAAATAAGGAAAAACATTAGTTCCAATTTAACCTTGAGTACAGGTAACATCTCAGTGAATCTGATAATTCATTTCCTTGCCTTCAATCCTGCAAAATCATCTATCACATCATCAGAATCAGAGATTTTACCTATATAAGCATATTTGTTGTGCAAGAAAGGTATAAAATACCGACAATATGAAAGTTAAGACACATGTGCAACATCGGATATCTTTATTGTAGACTTTCGCCATCCAGGGCTTTATCGATCACCCCTAGGCATAACCGCGACCCCTGAACTATATACAAAAATGAGGCTAATCATCTCGGCTTGGAGTTAGTGTTCACGATGCTGTGAACCTACTCCAAGGCCGAGGGAACTGATTACCTCATCTTATGTATATAGTACTACTGCTTCCATTATCGTCACTAGATCTGATCGATAAAGCCACTTGATGGCGGAAATCTTCACAAAAATATTCAGGATGTTGCACAGTGTTCTAACTTTCAAGCATATTTGTACCTGTAACCTAAATAGTCAATGAAAAACGAAGGATTTTTTCTTAGGTTGCTGCAGCACTGTTTTGGTCATTAGTGATTACTTTTTAGAGGCTGATGGTGACAACCCCTAAATGGTGCACCTGCACTGCCCCCACCTTCCCTTACAATGCACTGAACATTGATTGTGTATGGTAGTCACTGGAACTTCAGCCCATGTTTCCAATCATTTCACACACAACACCAACATCACACTATCAATCACCACACGACACACACAACACCAATCCCACACACACACACAACCACCCCACCCAACAGCACCACATGTTATCAGGGACGGAAATCCTGTGTCACAAACCACTGGAGCCTACGACATGGTGAGCATGTCGTAGAGTTTAAAACAAGGAGAGAGGGGTGGTGGGTGGAATTGCATTTTCTGGACTGCAAGAAGGCTTTGACACAGTTCCACACAAAGCTTAGTGCAAAAAAAATAGAGGAACCAAGCAGGGATAACAGGGAAGGCACTACAATGGATCAGGGAATACTTGTCAGGAAGACAGCAGCGAGTCATGGTACGTGGTGAGGTGTCAGATTGGGCACCTGTGGCCAGCGGGGTCCCACAGGGGTCAGTCCTAGGACCAGTGCTGTTTCTGGTATTTGTGAACAACATGACGGAAGGAATAGACTCCGAAGTGTCCCTGTTTGCAGATGACGTGAAGTTGATAAGAAGAATTCATTCGATCGAAGACCAGGCAGAACTACAAAGGGATCTGGACAGGCTGCAGACCTGGTCCAGCAATTGGCTCCTGGAGTTTAACCCCACCAAGTGCAAAGTCATGAAGATTGGGGAAGGGCAAAGAAGACCGCAGACGGAACACAGTCTAGGGGGCCAGAGACTACAAACCTCACTCAAGGAAAAAGATCTTGGAGTGAGTATAACAACCAAGCACATCTCCTGAAGTGCACATCAACCAAATAACTGCTGCAGAATATGGGCGCCTAGCAAGCCTCAGAACAGCATTCCAACATCTTAATAAGGAATCGTTCAGGACCCTGTACACCGTGTACATTACGCCCATATTGGAGTATGCGGCACCAGTCTGGAACCCACACCTAGCCAAGCACGTAAAGAAACTAGAAAAAGTGCAAAGGTTTGCAATAAGACTAGTCCCAGAGCTAAGAGGTATGTCCTACGAGGAGAGGTTAAGGGAAATCAACCTGACAACACTGGGGGACAGGAGAGATAGGGAGAACATGATAACGACATACAGAATGCTGAGAGGAATTGACAAGGTGGACAAAGACAGGATATTCCAGAGATGGGACACAGCAACAAGGGGACACAGTTGGAAGTTGAAGACACAGATGAATCACAAGGATGTTAGGAAGTATTTCTTCAGCCACAGAGTAGTCAGGAAGTGAAATAGTTTGGGAAGCGATGTAGTGGAGGCAGGACCCATACATAGCTTCAAGCAGAGGTATGATAAAGCTCACGGTTCAGGGAGAGTGACCTAGTAGCGACCAGTGAAGAGGTGGGGCCAGGAGCTTGGACTCTACCCCTGAAACCTAAACAGGTGAGCATGTGTCGTGCGCGCACCACACACACACCACCACAGGTTTTGGAGTGTGGGGAAAAACCTATGCCCCAACTTTTAAAGGGACATCCCAAAAGGTGGGGGGGGGATAAACCAGCAGATTGGCCCTTTGTTTTCACCCGGGGCAGCCAGACTTTTGGGGGACACAAGTATGAGAGTCCCAGGAGCTAGGACCACAGGGTTTCGTGCTTTGAATACATATAGAGCGCAAGTGGAGGAATAACAGGAGTTAAGGGGAAAAGCCGCTATAAAAGGGGATACAAGGGTTGAAAAACTTCCTGCAGGAGGCCCAGTGGGAAGAGAATGGCAGGAAGCCGTAAATAAAAAGAGGAATATGAAACAAAAAAGCAAGGGGCAGTGGAAAATTTATTCCCGGGGCCAAAAAAGTAACAGGGGGGGAAACCAAATGAGCCCCTGGTTTCCCCGACGGTTTAAGGAGGCAAAAACAAAGTGAAATAGAGAAGGAAAAAAGTACAAAAGGGCGAGAACACCGAAAATAGGGGATCAGTCGCGACCCGGGAATGAGTTGCACGGGTAAGGAGGGGGGCCAGCGACGTATGAAAATGACTGCTCGGAATAAGACTGACCCGAATGTTGTATACAATCAGGAGGAAGACAACAGTCAAAGACCAGGTGATAAATTTAAGGAAGAAAGGTGGGAATCACAAAAAATGATCAGGAGGATGTGAGGACTGAAAGGGTTTTAAGGAAGTTTTTACGTAGAGCGGAAAGGGCTGTGGGAAGACGCACAGAAGGGAACTCAAGGGGGGAATTACCACAAGTTTGGGTGAATAAAAAACAACTGGGAGGGGGAAAAGCTCTTAATGACCTTGACCCTCAAGGCGAGGGGCCCGGACAACTTCCCCAGGGGTCTTAAGAAAAGGGCGAGATGCTGGCACCCTCTACCACAATCTTCAACACATCCTTAAAATGGGAAACCCCTGAGAAAAGGAAGACACTAATGGCCCCCAATTTAAGAAGGAACAAAGAGGCACTAAACTACAGACCTGTGTCTCTGACTTTTGTGTGCAAAGTCATGGGGAAGTTATCAGGAAGATGGTGAAACCCCCGGGAAAGGAACAAGTTTAAAATAAAAAACCCAGCGGGGTTCGGGAAAGGCAAACCCTGTTCACAAAACCTCCTGGGTTTTGAAAAGGGTAACAGAAGTAAGCAAAAGAGAGAGGGGTGGGAAATTTTGCGTTTTCCCTAGACTGCGGGAAAGGCCCTTTTTGACACTTTCCCCCACAGAATTAGTGCAGAAGCTGGGGATCAGGCCATGTAAGGGGAGGGCCTGCAATGGAAAAGGGAATATGACAGGAGGCAGAAGGCATTGTACGTAAAGAGGTTAAAGGGGGTGCCTGTTCAGCGGGGCCCCAAGGGGTCAGTTTGGGCCAGTGCTATTTTTGTTTTTGTGATGACTTGAGGGAAAGGAATGACCTAAGTGTCCCTGTTGGGCAATGAGTGAAGGGAGAAAAATTTAAGGTTGGGTGCGGTCAAAATTTTAAACGACATATTTTTTTGGACCATTCGTTTTTTTTTTGGTGTAATATTAGGGTTTATCGAAATGCTGTGCTAAATTTCTTTTCAATGGGCCAAAAAGGAAATGAATATGCAAAATTTTTACGAAAAATTGCTTTTGGCGGGCAAAATTTCTCAGTGGTATTGGACAAGTGGTTTTGACACTTGTGCTGCTAAAACAACCTAATTCCATCCTTTCGATGTGAATTCAAAAATAAACCTTTATCTTTTGCTAAAAAAAATAAAGTTTCAAAATTTTTTTGATAATTGGAGATGTCGGCCTTGTTGCCACATAAATCTAAAAATTTTTTTTGGAAGTTGGGAAACGAATGCTACCCCCGAAAAAAACAAATTCTCCCATGTTTTTT